AACAATTAGTATCAGCCAAAAAATCCAGCGATTTCTTTAAGCAAACTCTCTCTACTCCAACATTGTATATTTTGATTACAAGAATCTCAAGTATTTCATATTAGTACATGTTTTAAATTATTACCAAGCTTATTGGAGCATGTCCTTATTAAGATTTGTTTTCAAGATCACTTATTGATCCAAAAAATAAGATTTGTCATATGCCCTTTTTGGATGTTCTTATCTTGTATCAAAAGCACAAAATGTAACTTTTGATTAACAAAGAATAATTTTCTTGAAGTGCAAATATTTTCACGTTTGAGCAACAAAATCAACATTAACTGTTGATTCAACGTTTGTCAAGAAAATTCAATCAAGTTTGTCCTTTGATCCTCTTATCCATGATATTAAGAATAAATCTTCTAAGTCTTATGATACTTCTATGTTCGAGTTCAAGAAAAACCTACTCTATTTTGAGGGACAATTATATATTCTGGAAAGTGGAATATAATTATATGTTCTTCAAACTTGTCACAATTTTTCAACAATCAAATATTTTAAATACAACAAGACTTTGGAGTTAATATTGAAAGATTTTTGGTGGCTTCCAATGTGGAAGGCACTCAAAGACTTTGTACAATTATGTGATATTTGATCAAGATTCAAAACTCCTTGCCATCGATCTTATGGACTTCTTCAACCTTTACCTATTCCAGAACAACCATTGTCATGTTGTGATACGACTATATGATAAAAATATGACTAAAAATAATTTTTTAATTAATATTCTATTATCTTATTTCAAAAAAAATTCAACATATTTTAATAAGGCTTTTATGAAAGCCTCTTAGCCTATTTTCTTGTCTTAATAGTAAGTAGATAAAAGTTAGTTAGTATTTTTACCTTCTAGGATATAGATACTCTTTTACTACCTCAAAAAGGCCATAAATTGATAAAATCAGGATAAAAGAGATGAATGGCTTATATGCTTGATATTAGAGTTAATTTGATGATAGAATCAGGCTAAAAAATCCTTAGGATAGGTTAAATTGATACCTGGAAGTCGATTATTTGTAGAACAAGGTCAAAATCAGACCTCTAGCCACAAAAACAATGACCTAGGACAAAGTACAAGGAATTTGAGGAGATCAAAAATAAGGATTAGAGAGCTAGCTTCAAGCTTTTTTCAAAGGCATAAGACTTTTTTTTTTAGGTTTTATAAAGACTTTGCAATTATTATTCAAAATCGGAATTTGTATTGGTGATTTGGATTTTATATAATACAATTAGGGCTAGCACTTTTGGCTAGTTTGTGCAATTGGTGTAACATCTATGGTTCAAAATTTGGTATAAGTGTACACAAAAAAATTTGCTAAGTGTATATAAAATTTTTTGTTAATGTAATAGTGAGGTTTAGAAATATGGTTTTTAGCACAAGAGGATTTCAAAAGTTGGCAAATTTGGATTGAATAGGATTTCTATAATATCTAAAGATTTGATAGTCAGGTCAAGGTGAAATTTGGCATGGTGTTGAAGGACTTAAAGATCAAGCTACACATCAATTTTGAGTTGAAGTTAATAATTGGAGAAGGAGAAAGCACTACTAAAACTTGTGCATCACCTTTCAAGTTGGCGGCCAAGTGACATCAGTGAAGTTTTTGGAGGTTTCCTCACAATCTATAATTTGGATTGGGCTGAAATTTCTCAAGCACATAGAAGACTTACATTAATAATTGCATGCAAAATTTTACATCAAGTGGACGGTCAAATTAGAAGTTACAGCTTATCAAAGTTCACTAATTAGAATTAGAGCTAACAAGAAAAATCTAAATTGCTTAAATATGAAAGCAACAAGGTAATTGAAATTTATGTATGATTGAGGCTACAAAGAAGAGTATTTTTTAGCACTTTTGAATTGAAATTTGGATTATATTCTTTTCATATAAGTGAAATCTATTAGGATTTCTTGGATACTTGTGAAATACAACCTCACCTTCTACAGTTAGGTATTTGATGCATTCTCAAACAAGACAACACGTAATATGATACCGTGAACTTTTGTTTCTATGGATTTTATCACCAATCTTCTAATCTTAGGTTTATATGATTCTATATTCGTAGTGGTAGATTATTTTACTAAGATGGCATATTTTGTACTATATACAAAATCTATTATGGATGAAGAAACAGCTAAGTTTTTTCTTAACATCTATCACTATCACGGATTGCTTAAAGATATTATATCAAATAGGAAAATTAAATTTATATGAAGATTTTGGAGAATCTTTTTTAAGATTTTAAGGATAGATATAAAGCTCTCTTTAGCTTTTCATCCTGAAATTGATGATCAAATAAAATGGATGAATCAAGTTTTGGAGCAATACTTCAAGTGTATTATTAACTATCATGTAGATGATTAAACAACTCTTTTACCATTGGTAGAGTTTGTGTATAATAATTTGATATATTCTTTTACTCAACAAACATCTTTCTTTACCAACTATGGTTATCATTGACAACTTGATACTTTTGACTTTTAAAAAGTTGATAATGATGTGGCAAAAGATTTGGCAAATTATTTCTCAAAGCTACATGCAACAATAAAAGTACAATTAAAGATAGCATAAGAATGACAAAAAATTAATGCAGATGCCTATCGTAAGAAACAACCACAATTCAACGTGGATGACAAGGTATAGTTATTTTGTTGTAATATCAAGACTACTCATCTTTATGACAAGTTGAACTATCCTAGGCTTGGACCTTTTTCTATTTGTGAATAAGTCAATCATGTTACTTATCGATTACATCTACCAGAGTCTATGAAGATTCATCCTATATTTCGTGTATCTCTTCTTGAGCCATATAAGATAGTAAATATCTTGGGAAGAAGACAAATGCCACCTCCTTCTATAGAAATGGATAATAATCAAGAATTTGAGGTGGAAGAAGTATTAGATTCAAGGCAGCACCAAAATAGGTTAGGATATCTTATTCATTGTTATAAATATGATATTAGTGAACGTACATAGGAGCCAACAAAGAATCTTATAAATGTAGTAAAGACAGTTGAAGCTTTTTATCAATCACATCTATCAAAACCAAGATGAAGAATAGATGATCTTTGTTATAAAAAAAAAGATCAAAAGAAAATAACATTTTATTTTTTATTTGTCTTTGTGGCTTTTGTGTATTTATAATGCTTAGGCGATGGAGAACCAGCATTCAACAAATTCAATTTAAGATTTTTTATTTACAGTCTTATTAGACAAAACATTACAATTGTCACAATTTGTCAGACAATGAAATCGAGATGAAGATCCTCAAGAATAACATGTCCTTCAAATAGATGGCAAGATATAAGGTGTTTGATATCACAACCTTAGAAGAGACTCCCAATGTTTGGTGATTTTATTAGGAGTGGGAACAATTTTTGATGGTGTGTCAAATATTTTATTTGAATAAAGTTATGAAGGCCTTAACAACAATCAAATAACATGGTGGTCTTCTTGCCCTAGTATGAAACACTATTGATAGCTAAGAGGACTTATCAACTATTTTTGACGAAAACAAAGATTAGAATATGTAGCAAATATAATTTGTTGCATCTTAGATTTCCTCAACATATGAAGATCAATCCTCGTGGAATTCATCCTTAGAAGGAGGGATAATGTCATGGATATACATAAGTACTCTAGTAAATATGGTAGAAGTAGATAAAAATAGATAAAATTTCATAATATCTTTTAGAAAAACTTCCTAGAAGCTTCATAGATATTATTTTGACTTTACATATGTTTGTAGTTGATTGATAGGTTAGAAATTTGATCAAGAAGTTAACCATGTATTGATAGTTTGTGGAACAAGCTAACCATGTGGTATTTATATAAAAAACTTGTCTTGCAATTTAAGATATGTGTCTTGTAAAGTCAACATGTTTGGGAAGTCCTATAGAACATTGCCACATGTCTCCTAATTAAGAGAATATATGGAGGCAAGAATAAAGCCTTCTTCACTCTTGTCAATGTCTTTCTAGTCCTTAGTCTTATTTCTAGACTTTTTAGTCTTCTTGTTTTTGGAAATAGCCATTCTAGTTCAATAATATATTATCGTTAAGTGACTTTCTAATTCTTTTTAGTGATATAAGAGTGTATTGAGGATTTTCTTTCTTCAAGATTCACACCCTTGATACAAGCTCTCTACTGCCAATGTTTTTAATCCATTTGCAATAATATCCAATATATCACATGTTTGCTTTTAAAATATTTTTATATTTAGAAAAATCTTCAATTATGGATGTTCAATTTTTTTTGCTTCTATTTCTTTTTACATATTTAATAGTTAGTTTTTTTGTAGCAACTCCAATTTTTTTCTTATGATTTGAATGATTTTTTAACTTTTCTATCTACATACCATCTTTATAAGGTTTTATGTTTATTATTGTTAATACATTTCGATTGATTTGTTGAAACTTTATCTTGTCATTGTATTTTTTATTAATGAAATGTTTCAATGTTTTTTTTTTTTTTTTTTTTTTTTTTTTTTGTGATGTTAACAGTTCAGAAAGTCATTAGATAAATCTTTGTAAGGATTAGGTATAAGAAAATAATTTCTTCTATTCGTCTTACTCTTCCTGGACTCATGTGTTGCTTTGTTGGTTTGACATGTCTGCAGACGAAGTATTTGAGCAGTAGAGTGTCTGTGTGAATGTGTACAGGGAAGTCTCATTAGAAGTCCTTTGGCTACATTCTTTGTTTGTTTTTTTACATGGAGTAAGAAATATTTCTTATGATTCATGATGATACACAGCATGACAGAGTGGATATATTCTCTAGTAAACAGTAAAATAAAATAAAAAAAAAACACCCAGATGTTTTGAATTGTTTCAAAGTCCCAAACATTTTGGTTACACTGAGATTTGATCACTAATACCCAACAGTTAAGGCATCACCTGATTCATTATTCAATATTAAGACAGCAGAGAATATGACATTATTTCATCACAAATGAAACAAAAAACATGAAATTAACTTCTCGCAAGTGCACGAAGTTTCACCAGAGGATGATTTCTCTGCTCGAAACAAATTACTAGCCACAATATCCGGGTTCAATTTCACATCTAAGAGAAATAAATGTAGCACACGACCAGTGGTCATGTGTGATGATTCAATATGATTTGAATGATCAGATCCATTTATACAACGGTTATTCGGACATTGAAAAAGGTAGAATATTGCATACAAGGCTTGTCGGGTCACATCTCAAGAACCAACCCCTTCCACGCAGCTAGACGAGAAACAATGTGTACATTCCTGATGAAGGACATCGTTTTGTGACATCACTCTAATCATACCAGGACTTCTTGGGCTTCTCTGATTCCTCCTCCTGGTTGTTATCAGTCCTGGAGCCATATCCTGCAGAATCGAGAATGCAAATGTGACCAGATCAGTTTCATTCTTGAAAAAACCAACTTTAGGGTGATAACACTGGAGCTCAAAAATCACAGCATTGACAGCATTCACGTGAAATACCCTTCTAATCAGTCCTGTTCATCAATAGCATATTATCCCAGACGAGATGGCACACCCGCAAGCATAGACGATAGAAGACTGTTCAGGTAGGTAACATATAAGCCGCACCTTCATCGCCATATAGGGATTTCTGAGGCCGACGGTTACCTCCATGCTCTTCCTCGCGCTGCGACGGTCGGCCACCGTACTCAGATTCCTCGGACTCATACTTGGAAGGTCGGGGCCTGGAAGGGCGAGACTCTGAGTCTCCATCATCATATTGTGAAGGACGAGGTTTAGCTGGACGAGATTCTGAGTCTTCATCATCATAGTGTGAAGGACGAGGTTTAGCTGGACGAGATTCTGAGTTTTCATCATCGTAGTGCGAAGGACGAGGTTTAGCTGGACGAGATTCTGAGTCTTCGTTATCATATTGTGAAGGACGAGGTTTTGCTGGACGAGATTCTGAGTCTTCGTCATCATGTCGTGAAGGACGGGGCTTGGTTGGCCGAGACTCAGACTCTTCATCATCGTACTTCGAGGGTCGGGGTTTGGAAGGATGATAGTCTTCGTCCTCACCACTTGACTGACCACGACCTAGATAAAAGCACCCAATTGCGAGTTAGGGATGGCGTGTCTCAACAATCCTGTAGTTATTAAGGTCATCAACATGTTAATTATTAAAACACAGAAATCATGCACAGTTCAGCCATTACACCCGATAAGTTCCCAGTCATAGCTGCTTCTTTACGGATATTGCAGTACAAGCATCTAATTTTCAATACCAGAGCTACTATATACACCGATTCGAAATGGTGTAAAAGGAATAGCTCGACTAAGATTGTGACCCAATTGAGGTCTTGAAACTTACCACTGTGGGGTTTCGCCGAACCGTGGGCACCTGGAGCCTCGTGCTTGTTTCCGTAGCCGTCTAGATAGGAACTAGCCTGCTGCGCATATGCAGAATAGGGGGACTTCTCTCCTCCATACATTGACAATCCATCGAGCAAGTCGGACGCAGCCCCTGTTATCAGGAATGATGGTAATTTGAATAAGATAGTCTTTCACTCTATACTAGTTAGCCACCTCTATCAATCCCATTCATTTTTCCTAAAATAGTTCGAATCGACGAGGTACGTACGAACAATACGTCGATTCTATGATGACAAGTCGGCCCTTTGAGTTTTCTCAGTGGCATGCTTCGAAGGAAAGCGACAAAAAATAATCACGAAAGAAAAACAGACTCGGGCAACGGTCGCATCGCAAACACCATGCAAAGTTGAATACTGCTGATTAAGGCCTCGGCGACTTAAACCCTTCATTTTGACATGTTAGCGTAGTCAGTGATGTCCTCTTACGTTCTAAAATTGATTGATCCAGTAAAATCATGTTCACATTGTACCTGCAAGCTTGCCTTGATCAACTTTCCCGCCGGATGCAGCTTGGTACAAGACCTGCAGGGCGAAAACAAACGCGCAAAGAGGGATGAGCGCATCATCCTTCAAAAAATGCACAACAATTCCTGTAATTTTAAGAAAAAGTCTAATCGTGGTTGAATTCAAACAAAGACAACAATGTGTAAAGTGTTGATTAAGCATCATCAACGTCTAACCTAATAAGCACATGTGCAGTGAACATCCCCTACGGAAGATACCGTGAATCTACAATAATGGGAGTCTCTAGCACTAATCGGAAGAGCTATAGATAAAATATTTCAATCATGAAGGACAAGACCATTACTCTAAAAAAACACTCTCAAAGAAAATGGTTGTCTCTGAAGCTTCGGAAGATAACAACAACAACAACAATAAAAAAACAAACAACGGTAACGCTCACGTAAACATTGCAGATAACTTAAAGTTGTCTTAGGAGAAGCTGAAATATGGCCACAACCACTCATCCTGCAAGTTACGATTTAGTGTTTAGAATCGTGTACAGAACCTCCATGCACTACGAATCAGAAGAGTCTCACCTGGGCACTGCTAAAAAGCTCGCCGGTCGATGGTTTCTTGTGCCCTGCGCTTCCAGACTGGCTTTTATGAGGCGCTTCATCATCACCGTATCTGCTCCCGTGAGGCCTCTCCTCGTCGTACTCTCCGTCATCTCGCCTGGGCTTCGGCTTCTGCTTCTCACCTCCGCCCATGAACCCACCCAACATATCACCAAACCCCCCTGACTCTCCCCCTTCCTTCTTCTTCCCATCACCTTTCACATCTTGAGCAATCTTCGCTGCATTCATAAGAAAATCCATCTTCGAGTGCTGAAACCCCAAAAACGAGAACGTAACAAACCAAACGTTAAAAACCCAAAACCGAAGTTATCTCAAAAAATTTTAAAATGCTTCACAAACCTCACTCTGCCACTAGATCTCACCTGAAAAATGGACTTAGAGAGGCTCTAAAAATCTGCGGAGAAGCTTAGAGAAGACCCAACAAGCACAATTCCAATACGATGTGCAGCGAGAAACGCAAATTTGCTACAGCATAATAGGCAATGCAGCTCGTTTAGTACTTGGCCGCACGGGAAGCCGGGGCGACGTGCCTGTAGGGGAGACAACTCCCCCCCTATAATATGCGAGTGGATGAATGCAAAACAGCTTTCGGATGTGATTAGCGATAACGTCGGTGAATGAACGCGTTTCCGATCGAGGGTATGTGGCATATAGTCTGGTATAATAATAGTGAGGCTGGATATTATTGAGTCGGCGGCCATTGGGTGGTACTTTATTAGATTTAGTGTATTCTGGGAAAGTCTCGGATTGACTGCGCTGGTGTGGATAGGGTCCACTCGGCGAATTGGACTTAGAATTATTGGCTTTAACTAAATTTAGGAGAATAATTAGAGTGGGATTCTCATAACATGGGATTCTTAAATCCACCACACCCTAATTGTTATTAAGAATCTTGGATTGTGCCGTCCACCTTTTTGCCTACAACTTTTCAATAGTTTTATGTTAAGTTTGTAAGATATATGCACCAACTAGTACTTTTTTGAAAAAAATTAAGGTAGATTTTACATAAACGCAATAGGCATGGGAATCATTTTTTGTTTAGATTAACGTCAAACTACTATAAATTGTGTCATGGCCCCTTAACCAACCTCTAGATCTTGCTAGAAGCTGCCCTTGCACTAACCCAAAAACAACCATTCTTCTTATAAAAGGTTCCGAGTCCATTCCAAGTCCACCAATGATTGTTGTTTGTTTTTTTAGAATAGAAAAAGTACTTGTAATTGTGAACATGTAGGTCCTTACACATTAACAGCTTCGCACTTCACGTCCATGTGTGTGCACAGAGAGGATATCTTCAAATTCATTGTTAAAAGTATTCTTCAAAATCTGTGAACATGTAAATATTATAATAATTTCAACAACATTGTTCTGAAGTATATGTAAGTGAATTTGGCATAGTAAGTGTCATCATGCATATAAACCAGTATGCAAAAAGAAAAAGAAAAAAAGATTTATATATATATATAGAGAGAGAGAGAGAGAGAGAGAGAGAGAGAGAGGAAAAATATAAAGTATATATATAAAGAAAAAATGATCCATTCCCTTTATTGGCAAATATGAGACACTATCAAAATGCTTTGTAGAAGATATATTGGGTTTTGCAACATTATAAGGATTTGTACTCTCAAAATAGCGGAGAGTGAGCATCAAAGGCTGCAGTGCATGGAGCCACGTGTTTTCTAATGTTGCTAGCTGTTATTATTCATTTTCTTTATTTATTTATTTTTGGTGTCTTGTCTATCTAGATTGTACATAAGAAGGAGATATAAAGAGAGTGTAAGTTGTTCAACAATGGACAATATATAAGAGCATGATAGTTTTGAAAATAATCAAAATTAAATTTTTAAATTAAGTTCAAGGTTGGATTATCAAATAGAATGAAATTGTATGCTTAAAAAGACAATTTTTAGAAAGACAAATCATAAGTATCAATAATTTAAGAAGTCAATACAATATACAAATTTGCAAAGATGAAAAATGAGAGAAAATTACCAAATTTGTAAAATGCTTGTAGAATCCAAAGAAATATAAGATGGCTACATCTAATAAAATTTTGTCATTGTGAATCTTTTATATATGGCTTTGGTTGGAACTATTATAATTTTATTTTAATTCATACTGTTTTAAAGAGATCTAATTTATAAAGATCCAATAGTGAAAGTAGAAATAAAATACTTGATCTAATATGTCTCAATATCATAATTTATGGAAGATAGACCTTTTCAATCTTAAGTTTTATAATGGAATAGCCACTTCTCAAAACAAATATTTTGTATAACTTTGAATGCAAGAGCAGACTAGAAATTAGAAAGTATTGTAATAAATATAATTTTTTAAAAACTATTAATAGATTATAATAATTTTTTTAATATGCTATTGGTTTTATTTTTTACAAAGAAATATATGAAGGAGTGTAATCTACTTAAGAAAAACAAAGACAAAACATCTAACTACAACAAAAAACAGACACAATCCAACATATGTATATTACATAATAGTAGTTTAAATTCTACATGGTGAAAAATTATTTAAAAAATAATAATATAAATGAAAAAGATATCATACCAGTACAACATTATTATAAAATTTAAAGAATATAAATATGGATTTTAAAAATACTAGTAATATGAATACAAACAAATTTTATATAAGATCCTCATAATAAACAAGCCATGATTTATTAATGGCAAATGTAAAATTATAGAATTAGTTTATAAAATAATTAATATCTAATAAAAAATATTTTATCAAAAATAAATTTGAAAAAATAAAAGAACATATTAGAAAAAGAAATATAAATAAAAATCACTAAAGTAATAAAAGATGATTAAGTCATGAGTGTTGATTGCCAAAAACAACACAATTGCTACATATGAGGTGGTACTATTCTTAAACCTAGTAATAAATCAAAAGCTTTCAATAAAAGATACATGTAGAGTTGCACATCAAAATAATAAAAAAATAAAAAAAAATAAAATACAATCAAAGATTTGAAGATTAAAAAACAGACATAATAATTTAATTACAATAGTTTGAGAAAAAATGAAGATACAATAGAGGTTGTTCTACCTAGTAGTGACAAGCTTCTCCAATACATAATATAAATATTGTGCATTATAATGCAAACATTAGAAGATAAAGTATGGTTTATGAACTATAATTCAACAAAAATATAAATATACTTGGTATTTTTAATAAATAATTAGAATAAAATATAAACCACTTATTTTTTAAAAGACAAGTAAAGACATAAATACAATTGATGGTTGTATAGATACTAAACATCAAAGATTAACAATCACAATCAACTAAAAAAAAGAACTCTTAAGAACAAAGCATGTATAGTAAAACTAGTTATTGACTATAGAAAGATGATTAGAAATATAACTAATAGCTTAACCATAAGAATAGAACATTATATATAAGCATAAATATAGAATCAAATCCATAAAAAAATTCTAATTTATTAATTTATTCTTTACTAATATTAAAGTCATAAATCACAAAGAATCAAACAATTGATACACTCTTTTGTCATTAAAAAAGAGTAGATAATTACTTAAAGATGGTATAATATTAAACTAAAATAGCTATTGCTGAAGACAAGAAAACTAAAGATACTTCAAACAAGACTAAAAGTAAGAAAGATTTTAACAAAAAGACTTGATTTTTACTTCAATATATACTATCTCTCATGTAATATAATATTAGATGCCAAATCTCCTTAGATATATATAATTTAATTTCATATAGTGGTTTTTCATCTATTTAGTTTTTTTAGTTAGTTGAATTTTTTAATATCAATTAAAGTTTAAATACTTAGGTAAAAAAAACTTCCATGACTTGACATATTTGTCAAGTCAATTCTTATGAGTGATTATGAGAGATAGAAAGCTTATATTGTAAGAATTTACTTGACTATTGAGATTAAACTATTTAATAAAGCTTTAGGATCTTCTTCTACTTATACTTGCATTTTTCGATTTTTCTTTTGTGATATAAAAGATATATTGACTTATTTGTATATTGATTCATCATCTTTTATTTAAAAACATATCTTCTTCTATTCAGCTTATAGTATGATAGATTGAAATAGAGTCTATATATATTTATATATTATCTCTCTTAAATGTTTTTTTTGATATTATTATGTTATTTTGCTATTATATTAGAATATTGGTTGTTAGTATAGTATATCAGAGATATATATATTTATTCTAATAATTACCAATATAGTTACATAAAAGTAAGTAAAAGTAGATTAATTTCATAACATCTTTTAAAAAAGCTTCATAAAAGCTTTATTGATGCAATTTTGACTTTACACGTATTTGTAATTGATTGATAGGTTAGAAACTTAGTCAACAAGTTAAACATGTGCCACAAATATTAATAACTTGTGGAACAAGCTAACTACATGGTGTACACATAGAAAACTTGTCTTGCAAATTAAGACATGTGTCTAACAAAGTAAACATATGTTGGAGGTCCTATAATACATTGTCACATAATTCTTAATTAGATAGTATATATATAAAAGCAAGAGTGAAGTTTTCTTCACTCTTATCAATGTCTTTCTAGTCTTTATTCTTGTTTTAAGTCTTTTAGTCTTTTTTGTTTTGGCAACAACCACTATAATTTAATATTATATCATCTTTGAGTGATTATCCAATCTTTTTGAGTAATATAAGAGTATCTCGATTTTTTAGTTCTTCAAGTTTTATGTCTTTGATAATTTTACGAAAATACTAACTTATCATTTTTATCTTATTTTAGAAGTAAATAAATTACCTCACTTCTATTGTTGTATTTTAAAAGTTACAAAATATCTAGCTTTAAAAAAATAATTTAGTTTTCTAATACTATTTTTTTTTTTAAAAAGTAAATTATTTTTCATTATGGAAATTTTCATTTGATATTAGAGGTTGTAGATTACCATCCTCTAATTTAATTTTTTGAATTTTTTTGTATTGTATAAAGAAGAAAAGATTATAGATGCTACTCTCAACAGAAGTGAGAATAGATTTGTAATTCTTGCAGATCTTTAAAAACTTGTCAATATTCTAAGAATAGAAATCTCACAAATTTCTAATGTGAACCATGGAGGTATTATTTCCATGCCTATGGAAGAAGTCAACAATGAAGTTCAAAATCTATGCCAAGAAGTTATATTGTTAAGAAAAACAAATATATCAAGTCCACAACTAAATCCAAAAAAATTGCTTCTACAAGTATAAGGAAGCCAAGGATAAATATACTTGAGAAGTTTGATAGAATAAGATCAAATTTTTGAAGGTTTCTACAATAAGTAAAGCTTTATCTAAGGTTGTATCTTTCTCAATACTTTAACAGATTCATTCAAGTTGGATTCATTAGAGTATTTTTTTCTAAGAGTGTTCTCTCTTGATTTGCACCTTTGATAAAAAAATATTCATGACTATTCTATGATTTGGATTCATTTTTAAAAGTATTACAGCTATATTTAGAAAAAATAATTGCAAAAAGATAATATAGACCAAACTCATA